AGGTAAGCTATTTGAGGACTTCTATTCATGCACACAAATGTTAGAGGAAGTTTACTGAGTTTCTCATAAATTCCAAGTGGAATGTGGATTGGGACTGCATGAAATTTTAGATTATTTGGGGTGGGGGTGACTTTTTTTTTTTTTTTTTAGTTGAACGAGATGCATGTACAGGCCTTTTGTGTGAGATATGGACAGACTCATAGGGCAAATAAGAAAGGGGCTCTCAGTGGCTCTCTGGGCTGGGTCTTTGATTTGGGGATGATGCCCTGGGACCTCCCTGGAATACAGTGGGGGAAAGGGGGCCCCTGACACTCACCAGGGTCCAGGTTGTCCCCTGGCATCTTCGATAGTAGAACTGACAGACCAGGACCTTATGGGGTGGCCATACAGGCGGGGCCCACTGGACAGTGGCCTCCAGGGGGTCATCCTCCGAAAAGTCCACATCAGGGTGCAGCCGGGGGGCATCTGGCTTCACTGAAGAAGGGGAGGCCAGATGCATTGAGCCGGGGCCTCCAGGACCACCCACCCCACATACAGCACACCCCCCATCCCGCCTGTTACTTCGGGTTTCCAGGTTCACGAAGACAGGGGGCCAGAGAGGCTGGCCTGCCTTGGTACCCCAGACAAGTAGTTCATCAGACATGGTAAGCTGTTCCCGTGGAATGGTCATCCAGCTCTGCCCGGCAGGCACTGCCACAGTCCACGTTCTGTTGGAATGGCTGTGAGGAGAAATGTGGGCATGGGAGGGGGAGGTGTATCCGGTTGGGCCTGGAGCCATAATGAGAACTCATCTGCCTGCGTTCAAATCCCAGCTCTGCTGCTTCAGAGCTGTGTGGCCTTGAACAAGTCACTTAGCTTCTCTGTGTCTGTTTCCTCGTCTATAAAATGAGGGTGACAGAAATACTAGCTGAAGGACAAAAGAATGAGGGGAATCAATGAGATAATGACTGAAAAGTGCTTAGAACAGCACTGGGCGCCCAATACACGTTACGTGAGCATCGCATGTTGTGTTTATCCACACCTACTTATATGTATGTACATTTACACTTATGCAACTATTCTGTCAGCAAATATATACTGTGTCAGGTCGTCTGGTCGAAGCTGGGGATAGGACTAAGATCCAAGCAAGCGAGGACCTTGCTCTCGGGAGCTGCTCTTCCAGCGCAGGAGGCAGACGAGGAACACGTGAGTATATAATTGCTGGCGGTGTGAGTGACAGAAAGGGCAGTCATAGGGTGAAGAGGATGCGGTGTGATGATGTGGTGAGGCACGACAGTGCTATTTTGGGGAGGGTGCTCAGCAGAGATCTCTCAGATGCGGAGACCATTGAACAAAAGCCCAAAGGCCATGAGGACAGAGCCCTGCAGGATGCGGGGGGGGGGGGGGGGTTGCATTTCAGGAGGAAGCAAAGGCCTTGAAGTAGGCTGACTGGTGTGTTTGAGGAATAGCAAGGAGGAGGCCCGCATGGCAGGAGAGGAATGAGTGAGGGGGAAGTGTGAGGAGGTGAGGCAGGGAGGTGACAAGCAGATTGTGCGGGGCCTGGGGGGGCCACAAGAATGACTTGGGCTTTTACCCTGAGCGAGGTGGGAGCCCAGGAGAAGGCAGAGAGCTAAGGAGAGATGGTCCCGGCCGCAAATGCTCACAGGCGCCCCCTGGCTGCTGTGATGCAGAACAGACTGTGGGCCTGAGGGTGCCAGCCAGGGTCCCAGGAAGGAAGTGACCCAAGGCACCACCCTGGCCAGCTAGCCACGATGGTGGGGGCTGGACCAGAGTGCCTGGCCAGGATGTAGAGAGTGCCAGATTCTGGATAATGTAGAAGGTGGAGCCGGCCAGGCTTGCTGACAGACCAGATGTGGGTGACAGAGAGCACCGTGAAGGATATCCTAAAGGATTAGATTTCAAAGGTTCCGAACAAGGCCTTCATAAAACAGCAGCAACAACAAAAATGCAGGTGTTGGTGAAGATGTGGAGAAACTGTAGCCCTGGTACCCGGCGGGTGGGAAAGTAAAAAATGGTGCCACTGCAGCAGAAAACAGTTTGGCAGTTCCCAAAAAAGTTAAACACAGAATGGCTATAGGACCCAGCAATTCCCCTCCCAAGCATAGACCCCCAAAGAACCGAAAACAGCGACTCAAGACTTGTATATGTATGTTCCTAACAGTGCTAGTCACGACTGCCAAAAGATGAAGAAAGCAACCCAAATGTCCACCAATAGATGAATGGGTACACAAAATGCGGTAGATCCATACAGTGAAGTTATTAGTCAGCCATAAAAGGGAATTGTGTTCAGATTCCTGCTACAACGTGGATGAAACTTAAAAATATGCTAGATGAGAGAAGCCACATGCAAAAGGCTGCATTTCCTATAATTCCATTTATAGGCAAATCCATAGAAGAGGAAAATCCATAGAGAGCAGTATGGTGGTTCCCAGGGGCCGGTGGGGGGATGATGATACAGTGTCTGTTAATAGGGATGGAACTTCCTTTTGGGGTGATGAGAATGTTCCGGAACTAGATAGAGGAGGTGGCTGCACAATACTTTGAATGTACCAAATACTACTGAATTCATTTTAAAATAGGTTAGCTTTATGTGATGTGAATTTCATCTCATTAAAAAAAGGGGGGGACCTTCTCTGACTCCCCTTTGTCTTATGCCAATTAAAACTAGGCCCCTCTGGAAAGGAACGGTGGTGACAATTGCACAACAACGTGAATGTATTTAATGCCACTGAACTGTGCACCTAAAATGGTTGAGAAAAAAAGATGGTAAATTTCAGGGGCGCCTGGGTGACTCAGCGGTTGAGCGTCTGTCTTTGGCTCAGAGCGTGACCCCAGAGTCCCGGAATCGAGTCCCACATCAGGCTCCCCACGGGGAACCTGCCTCTCTCTGTCTCTCATGAATAAATAAATAAAATCTTTTTTAAAAAAAAGATGGTAACTTTTACGTTTTGCCATTGTTAAAATAAAAAAAAAACAGCTTTCCCCCCTCCCACTGTGGTTCCCACTTTTCAATGCCCCTTTTACTCCTCCTTCAGCCAAATTTGAAATGAATTTGAGTTTGCAGCTGCGATTCATCATGAAGGAACCCAGGTCTCCCCCTTGACTATGGGCTCCACGAGGGCCAGGCTTTCCGTCTGCCTTTCATTGCTGCCTCCCTGGCATCATACCAAATTATCTTTTTTTTTTTTTTTTAACCAAATTATCTTTTTATACACTGAGAAGTTAGGCTACTTGCCTAAGGTCACACAGCCATAAAAGACAGCTTCAAATTATTAAGCAAATTCTCTTCACCACTGCCTAATTCCTCATATCCTCAGAACCAAGGTTGGGGGCAGGTTTCTTCATTACCGCCTTCTGATAGAGGAGGACAGCGAGGCTCAGGGAGGGAAGGCGACTGGTCTAGGGTCACACGGCAAGGAAACGTGGAAACCTGGAATCGAAGGGCTTGAGAGTGGGGGGGGGGCGCTAAGAAGCCGAACTCTTGGGGTCCTCTCAACCTGAGTATGCTGGGACCTGAGCGGCCACCCCTCTAAAGCTTCAGTTTCCCCGAGTCGGCCGGTTGTACTCACTACTTCTGGCTCTGGAGGTGCAGCGTGGAGGGGGCTCCCAGGTCCCCGAGAGCTTCCCACGAGCAGTTCAGGTCGCCCAAGGGTCCAACTCCATAGCACTGCAGTGGCCCAGGGCTGTCTGGAGAGGGAGGCAGGGTGGGGGGTGGAGGGGTGTTCCCAGGGCAGAAGGCTCAATTCCCCCATCCCGCGCATCCCAGAAGCTGAACTTCTGCGCAGGGTGGGGGGCCATCCGGGGGTCCCATCCGGGGGGTGAGCGGCAGGAAGGGGGCGCTGGGCACCCCTCCCCGGGCTTGGGGCAAACTCCTCCCCGCCCTTTCTACCAGCCACATCCTGTTACCAGCCGGAGCCTCCACCCCAGCCCCGGGCCTCGGGCTGCCCCCCGCCGCCGACCCCCGTCCCCCGGTCCCCCCGCTCTCCGCCCGCCCGGGGCCTGGCGGCGTCTCGCGCGTGCGGGCCGCCGGTGCACGCGGGGAGGCTCGGCGCTGCGGCGGGGGCGGCCCGCACTCACCCTGGGGCCGGGTCCGGTGGCACAGCAGCAGCAGCGGCAGCAGCGGCAGCAGAGGCAGCAGCCGCAGCGGCGTCGGCCGCGGCCGGGGGGCAGCCGCCCGGGCCGCTCGCATGGCGCCCCCGCCCCCGCCCGGCCCTGCCCGGCCCTGCCCGGCCCCGCGCCGCCGCGCCGCCCGCCTCGCTCCGGCCCCGAGCGGCGACGGGAAGCGTCGCTCCCCTGCCCGCCGCCTCCGCACCTTGCGCTCCGGGACCCGCCCCCTCCCCGCGCCGGAAAGTCCCAGGCGGCGGCGCAGGCGGGGGCCGCGGGCGCGGAGGGGCGCGGCCTGGGGCGCCGCCGAGCTCCGCGGGGACTGGTGCGCCCCCCTCCGCTTCCTCCCCCAGCGACGGCACACAGACGCTGCAAAGTCTTCTGGAACTTTTATTATCGGGGTTGAAGAAGGTCCTGATCCGTCCCCCCTGCCGGGCCTCCCACCGCAGGCTGTGAGGGGAACCCAGCCAGGGCTCCCGCCTCCGCTTCTAGGGTCCGCAGCGGGTGGGGGAGCAGGGGCTGGGAGAAAGGCGTGGGCAAAGGCCGGAGTGGAGCAGGGACACGATTTGGGCTGGTCAGGAGACACCGTGGTCTTGGCCACGGTGGGGGCAAGAGAGAATCAGTTTGGGCAAAGGTCTGGCGATGCAGCCAGTTTGGGTAAAGTAGGGGCACGGTTGCAGCCGCGTGCGGTATAGACCAGGCAAAGGCATGATGCGGCCTGGGGAGAGGGAAGGGGTCAGGATCAGAGGTTCCCATCTGGCCAGGTAGGGGCAGTTTGCTCAGGGTCGGAATAGGCTGGTCAAAGGTCAGGGTCATTTAGGGGGACTGTGTCCAAGGGCGCAGTGCCTGACCTCTGACTTGCTGATGAATGAATGCAGGAGAGTCCAGACACTGGTCTAGCAGAGGCTGCTGATCTCACTCTTGCTGCAGCCCCACTTGCAGCAGTTGCTGGAGAGGCCGGCCAGGACGTCGCGGCCACCACGCACAGCCCCCGGAGTTCCCTGCTGGCCCTCATAGAAAGCCCGGGGATACTTGGTCAGGGCCACCCACTCGCTGGAGGCTACAGCCTCATCCAGCTCACTGTCTGTGTCAGAGTCTGCATCTGGGAAGGGGAAACATGAAAAGAGTTAGTGCTTGGGGCTCAGTTTCTGTCACACCTAGAGTCTGGCTGGCCCAGCTACTTCTATTCTTGTGATGCGGCATCATGGTCAAAAGTTTTATTCCATTCCGGCCCGGGCTCCAGCTCTGATGGGCAGATTATTCAACCTCATTGAGCTTGCCTTTCCTCTCGTCATTCCTTTTCTCCTCCTCTTTATTTATTGAGAGCCTGATAGTTAAGAACATGTGTTTGGGAGCTGAACTAAGCACCAGTCCAGCCTCTCTGAATTATAATCCTGAGCAAATGAATTTACTGCTCTCTCAGTTTCCTTCTCTGAAAAGTGGGGATATGGGGGATCCCGGGGTGGCTCAGCGGTTTAGCACCTGCCTTTGGCTCAGGGAGTGATTCTGAAGACCCGGATTGAGTCCCACATCGGGCTCCCGGCATGGAGCCCGCTTCTTCCTCTGCCTGTGTCCCTGCCTGCCTCTCTCTCTCTCTTTCTCTCTCTCTCTCTGTGTCTTTCATGAATGAATAAAAGTGGGGATAATAATAACTTCTATTTTATATGGAGTAGATGAGATAATCAATACCCATAGAAAAGCTTAGAACAGTGTCTAGCACATAAGAAGCACTCAAAATAGCACTGATCCTTTACTGAGCACTTACTATGTGCCAGATACTAAAGGATTTGGTGCATTTAAAGGATCTAGTGCATTAACTCCTTTATTCCTCACAATGACAACCCCATGAGGTGGGTGCAGCTAGAACCCAGGCAGTGTGTCTTCCAGGTCCGTATACGTATCATCATCATCATGAAAGCCTTTTTCTATTCTTTTTTTTTGTTGTCGTTTTTGGCCAGGCCGTTGCATCTCATGAAACTAGACCCCATCCCCCCTGCTGAGCCCATGCTGAGCCCCCTGCCCAGCTTAGATGGTGTCCTAATCTGTTTTTGACTGTGTTGCCGCTTAACCATCCTGAGAGATTCAGGGTCACCTGCTAGGTGGTGGCAAAATCTGGCCTAATATACCACCTTGTACATAGTGGTTGAAAAGCACTTCAGCGTCAGTGTCTAAATGGCATCCTACCTCCCACCTACTCCCCCAACCTAGGAGTTGTGCCAGGAGCAGCCTTGCTTAAGGCAGGCTCACACCCGGCAGGTGCTCCAGAAATAGTAGCCAGTTCTCCGACGACTAGAGGCTGTGGATGGCTTGCCACCCCCATCCCAGCTCTGCTAACTGGCTCCTCTCACCTCGGCACAGCTTTGAGACTTGAGCAAGTTTCTCCAGTTGCATGTAGTAGGACAGGGACTCTTCTGTCCCCGCCCTTCATCTCATCTCCATCCCCTGCTCTTTGGACCATCCCATGTCCCATCCACTGCCCACCCCCTGCCCCTACACACTACCTCCCCCAGCCTCACCTGGAGCTTCATGAGTCAGGATGTCGGACCGTCTCCAGCGGGAGCCTCCGCAGGTGAAGATGACTGCTCGGATGAATTCCCGGCCGCAGAGCTTCACTCCGTAGGGTGATGGCCGGGCCTCAGCCCTCAGCCACAGCTCCCCAGCCAGTACCCACAGGGCTAGCAGCAGCAGCAGCGGGCGCTTGGCCATGCTGGACAGAACACCTGGCAAGTGGGGCGAGGCAAGGCAACTCCCCTGGGTGTCTGTGTCGCTGCTGCCTCCTGGCCCCCCATTTATACATCCTGGCTCCCCCGCACCTGTCATGGAGAAGGCGAGTGACCTCCCTTATCTCCTTCGGCAGAGGGGAGGCAGCACGGCCCTCCTCACCCCGACCTTTCCTGTTTCCAGGACCAAGTGATAACCTTTAACCAGGGATGGGGTGACGTGGTCCAGCTCACTGTCATCTTCAACAGAGAGGGGCGAGAAGGTCTCAGTTCAGCAGAGACCAGGAACCCAGACCCCACCAGATAGGAAGAGAGGGCACAGCCAGATACCGCCCCCCCCATAGGGCTGGACCTCCTCTGTGAATAATATTAGCAATGATAATGAGTGTTTCCCTGGTATGGGCTGCGAGGTCAAGCGCTGCTCTAAGTTTGTTGTATCTACTTAATCCTATGAAAATGATTCTCAAATTTGAGCAAGCCTCCGAATCTCCTGGAGGGCTTGGTAAAACACAGATTGCTGTGCCCTATTTACAGAGCCTCTGAGAATCTGCATTTGCAATAAATTTCCAGGACGTGCTGATGCTGCGGTGGTCCAGAAATCACACTTTGAGAGCCTCTGGACTAGGAGATTACGACTAAGATTATCCCCATATTACCTATAAGGAAACTGAGGCATAGAGTGGTGACACATGGTCCCCAGGCTCAGCTAGTAAGGCAGGGACGGGGGGCAGAGGATGAGGATTCAAAAGGGGCATCTGGTTCCAGAATCCATGCCCGACAAGGGAAAATTTTAAGGATTAAAAAAAATCTATTATGGGGACAGAGTTTGTTTTGCAAGATGAGAAGAGTTCGGGGATCCCTGGGTGGCGCAGTGGTTTGGCGCCGGTCTTTGGCCCAGGGCGCGATCCTGGAGACCCGGGATCGAATCCCACATCAGGCTCCCGGTGCATGGAGCCTGCTTCTCCCTCTGCCTGTGTCTCTGCCTCTCTCTCTCTCTCTGTGACTGTCATAAATAAATTAAAAAAAATTAAAAAAAAAAAAAAAAAAAAAAAGATGAGAAGAGTTCTGGAGATGGATGGTGCTGGATGCCACCGGGCACTTAAAAATGGTTAAGATGGTAAATTTTATGTGTATTTTACTGCAATTAAATAATAATAATTTTTAAATGTTTAATTTAGGGGCACCTGGGGGTCTCAGTGGTTGAGCATCTGCCTTTGGCTCAGGTTGTGATCCTGGGGTCCTGGGATTGAGTCCCACATCAGCCTCTCCACAGGGGACCTGCTTCTCCCTCTGCCTATGTCTCTGTCTTTCTTTCTGTGTCTCTCATGAATAAAAAAAATAAAATCGGGATCCCTGGGTGGTGCAGCGGTTTGGCGCCTGCCTTTGTTGGCCCAGGGCACCATCCTGGAGACCCAGGATCGAATCCCATGTCGGGCTTCCGGTGCATGGAGCCTGCTTCTCCCTCTGCCTGTGTCTCTGCCTCTCTCGCTCTCTCTCTGTGACTATCATAAATAAATAAATAAATTTAAAAAATATTAAAATATTGGGGATCCCTGGATAGCTCAGCGGTTTGGTGCTTGCCGTCAGCTCAGGGCATGATCCTGGAGCCCCGAGGTCGAGTCCCACGTCGGGCTCCCTGGGTGGAGCCTGCTTCTCCCTCTGCCTGTGTCTCTGCCTCTCTCTGTGTGTATCTCGTGAATAAATAGGTAAAACCTTTAAAAATAAATAAATAAATAAAATTAAAATGTTTAACATACATAGAGAAACTGGGAAATGTTGACAAATGGGTTCTCCAGAAAAGAAAAAAAGGCCCTAATTTGTAGCAGTTGTTGGTTTCTGGCCAATTTCAAGCACCAAAGTGATGTCAGCGTGGTCACGGAAGTCCTAACAAGTTAACCATCAGTTCTCACAAGTCAGTGTCAGCTGGCTCCAGGACACTGTTAGAATGTGCAATTTAAAGAATCATGGGATCCCTGGGTGGCTCAGTGGTTCAGTGCCTGCCTTCAGCCCAGGGCCTGATCCTGGAGACCCGGGATCGAGTCCCACGTCGGGCTCCCTGCATGGAGCCTGCTTCTCCCTCTGCCTGTGTCTCTGCCTCTCTCTCTGTCTCTCATGAATAAATAAAATCATTTAAAAAAAGAGAGAGAGAGAGAGAGAGAGAGACAGAGAAAAGAATCATAAACAGGACATCCACGATACCATCACTCAGGTCAGGAAGTAGGACGTTGCCAGCAGCACAGACATCCCCTACTGTGCATCCTCTCTGGTCACAACCGCGCCCTCCCCTCAGAGGTGGCTGCCATCCTGCCTTGAGTTCTTCCTGCTTTGCTTCTAGTGACAACTCTAACACTAACACGTGCATCTCTGAAACAGATAGTTCTTTGTCTCATTTTCTTTCCTTTTTTTGTTTTCCTTTTGTATTCTAACAATTTCAACTTTTGATCAAAGTATGACACACATAAGGAAAAGTGCACAGATCATAAGAGAACACAAACTGAACATACTTTGTAACCACGGCTGGGTCCAGAAAACAACATTTCCAGCCTCCCCCCAAGACAGAGGAGTTAATCTCCACCTTTTGGGAGGGGAGAATTTGGAAGAATCTGTGGACATATGTTCAAAGTACAGTAATTGAGAAATGCTTCAGATGAAACATTTTGAGGCTCTGGGAAGATCCTGTTTCCTTTTATTTTTTTTATTTTATTATTTTTTAAAGATTTTATTTATTCATTCATGAGAGACAGAGAGAGAGAGAGAGAGAGAGAGAGAGAGAGGCAGAGACACAGGCAGAAGCAGAAGCAGGCTCCATGCAGAGAGCCTGATGTGGGACTCGACCCGGGACTCCAGGATCACCCCCTGGGCCGAAGGCAGGTGCCAAACCACTAAGCCACCCAGGGAACCCCCTTATTTTATTTTTTATTTTTATTTTATTTTTTAAAAATATTTTATTTATTCACGAGAGACACACACACACACAGAGAGAGAGAGAGAGGCAGAGATACAGGCAGAGGGAGAAACAGGCTCCATGCAGGGAGCCTGACGTGGGACTTGATCCCGGGTCTTCAGGATCAGGCCCTGGGCTGAAGGCTGCACTAAACAGCCTGAGCCACCCAGGCTGCCCTATTTTATTTTTTTTAAGAGGGTTTTTGTTTTGTTTTGTTTTGTTTTGTTTTGTGTTTTGTTTTGTACAGAGACAGAGTACGTGCATGGTGAAGGGCTGCAGATGGAGAGGGAGAGAGAGAATCTCAAGCAGACTCCTTGGTGAGCATGGAGCCTGACTTGGGGCTCATCCAGGGACTCCAGGATCATGACCTGTGCTGAAGGCAGATGCTTAACCCACTGCCACTGAAGCACCCCAATAGCATTCTTTTAAAAAAAATACTGGGATAAGGGTGCCTGGTGGATCAATCAGTTAAGCATCTGACTCTTGGTTTAGGCTCAAGTCGTGATCTCCAGGGGGTGAGGTGGAGCCCCAGGTTGGGCTCTGCACTCAGCAAAGCATCTGCTTGTCCCTCTCCCTCTGCTTGCTCTCTCCACCCCCATCAAATAAATAAAATCTAAGTAAAACAAAATAAAATATTTTAATAAATATTTTAATATTTAAAAAATAAAATCTTAATAAAATTTTATTTTATTAAATAATTAAAATATTATTTTATTAGATTTAAATTTTTAATTAAAAATTTTAATATTTAAAAAATAAAAATATTTTAATAAAATAAAATAAAATATTGGAGTAAAGTTCCTATACATAAAGTTCACCATTTCAGTGTTTTACGTACACGTGTGTTCATAGCAGCACTATTCACAACAGCCAAAGAACAGAAATGACCCAAATTCCCATCAACAGATGAATGGATAACCAAAATGTGGTAGATCCCTACAATGGAATAGGATTCAGTCATGAAAAGGAATGAAGTTCTGATATATGTTACAATGTGGGTGAACTTTGAAAACATTACACAGAGTGAAAGAAGCCAGAGCCAGAATGTCACATATTACATGATTTTGTTGACCTAAAATATCCCAAAAAGGCAGGTCCATAGAGGATAAAAAAAAAAAAAAAAAACAGACTAGAGGTTGCCTGGGACTGGGAGGAGGACAGAATGGGTAGTAATCAGCACAGGATATCCCTTTGGGGTAATGAAAATGTTTTGGACAAGGGCACCTGGATGACTCAGTGGTTCACTATCTGCCTTTGGCTTGGGTTGTGATCCCAGGGTCCTGGGATCGAGTCCCACATCCGGCTCCCTGCAAGGAGCCTGCTTCCCCCTCTGTCTATGTCTCTGCCTCTCTCTGTGTGTCTCTCATGAATAAATAAATAAAATCTTAAAAAAAAAAAAAGAAAATGTCTCGGACAGAGGCGGTGGTAGCACAACATTGTGAATATACTATATGCCACTGACTTGTTCACTTTAACACAGTTAATTTTCTGTTATGTCACTTTCACCTCAATTTAAATAAACAACAAGAGGGGCTCTGGGGATGGGCTGAGGTGGGTTGGAATCCCATCTCTGCCTCTTCCCTTCTGTGTGACCATAGGCGAGTCACTTAACCTCTCTGTACCTTGGGTTTTCTCCTCTGTAAAATAGGGAAGATTCGATGAGTGCACCTTAAAACATTCTGTGGCAGTCAGTGAGTGCTTTTTAAATGTTATGTCTACCTGACACATTCCCTTTGGGTTCGAACTTTATTCCTTTGTCCTTTTCTTTGTGACAAACCCCTGACCTCGGTTGCCCCCTGTGGTATCTTGGGCCAAGGCAATGCTCCAGAAGGTGGGAATCATTTCTGATTGTACTGCTTTGAAAGGGCTGATGAATAATATGCTCCCCCACACATATCTCCTCTTCTTCCGGCGACTCTCCAGGGATGCACCCTTCTGCCCTTTCCTCCAGATCCCCAGTGCCTAACTCGCCGGCTGGGAAAGATCATGCCAGATAGTAACGGCTGCCTGTCTGATTTTGACTGATTTATGCCTCACACAGA